AAAGTATAGTGAAGACACAAGTCTCTGACTGCTTTAACAAACTGTTATTTAATATAAATGAGAAACTCTCCTATGTGATAAATTAAGTATATATTATGTATAATAACAATAGGAACAATTACAAAAATAAACACACATATAATGTCAGCACTATTATAGAAAATAATACATATGACTTTAATTCTTAAAAAGAGACCCTTTAGCCCAGCCGGCATGGCTCAGTGGATGAGCGTCCACCTATGAACCAGGAGGCCACCGTTCCATTCCCGGTCAGGACACATGCCTGGGTTGTGGGCTCAATCCCCAGTATGGGACATGCAGGAGGCAGCCGATCAATGATTCTCTCTAATCATTGATGTTTCAATCTCTCTCTTCCTCTCCCTTCCTCTCTGAAATCAATAAAAATATGATTTGAAAAAGACCATTTAAAAATATTATTCGTGTCTTCATTTTCTAGATGAGGAAACTGACGCAAGTAACCAAGTAACTTGCTGTCATGCAGCTAATGAGTTCCTGAGCAGGGGTTTAAACTCAGGGAGTATAGCTTGGATCCACGATCTAGGCCACCTTATATATTATTATGGAACCAACTGCCATGAAGGATTGACTGAGAATTTTTTTTTTTAATGGAATAGAACAAATGTTACAATGGAGATAGTGTCCTGTTGAGAAAAAAGTTATTTAATGTTCCAGAGCTAAGTTATACAGGGTAGGGGAAAACTGGGTTTACAGTTGTGAATACGTGAAACAAGACTTTATTCTTACACTAGAGGCTCGATGCACGAAATTTGCGTGCAGGTATGGTCCCTAGGCCCGGTCTGCTATCAGGGCCAACTTCCCTGGCTGCCCACAGTCAGCCCCACTCCCCGCCACCACCCACTCCGGGTTCCCCGTTTGCCAGGAGATGGGAGCCTGCCGGCCAGGGAAAGGGGCTGAGAGGTGGTCAGTGCACCACATAGTGAGTGGTCATTTTGGTCATTTTGCCATTAGGGTCAATTTGCATATTACCCTTTTATTATATAGGATTATTATTATTTATTAATTATATTATTTTTTCTGTTTTTGTTTGTTTTTTGTTTTCTTTTTTTTTAACTAGAAGAATTAGAGTGGTTTGATATTTTTTATCATCAAAACAAGAAGAGGGGAATTAGTAGGAGAAGCAAGTATCCTTTTGCGGGAGTGCACTATTCATGGAAGGGCCACATTTCTTTCACTTACTTTTCCACGGGTTTGTGGAAATTCAATGAGTTTCCTGAGCTGAAGGCAAAAAGGGCACTCCATGAAAAGTGTTTGTAGACATTATACTGTTCCAGGAACAAAACACCTAACATCTCCCTCAGAGGTGGATGTCCTCTTAGCCATGGATTCTGCTGACTTGCCCTGTTACTACTTGCTGGTGGCAAATTCCAGCAGGTCATAATTATGCAAGAAGTTCATCAGAAAGCTGATGGACCTTGGGGCTTCAGGAGGGCTGAAGATCTGCATATTATTGCCTGCTGCCAGACAGCTGAGGGCAGTTCCCCCAACCTGATGATCCTTTATTATTTACCAGACCTTACCTTTTATATGTATACTAGAGGCCCGGTGCACAAAAATTTGTGCACTCGGGAGGGTCCCTCAGCCCGGCCTGTGCCCTCTCGCAGTCTGGGACCCCTTGGGGGATGACCACCTGCTGGCTTAGGCCCGCTCCCTGGGGGATTTGGCCTAAGCTGGCAGTCAGACATCTCTCTGGCAGCCCAGGAGCCCTTGGGGGATGTCCACTTGCCAGCGGGGAGCAGGCCTAAGCTGCAGTCGGACATCCTTAGTGCTGCTGAGGAGGCGGGAGAGGCTCCCACCACCACCGCTGTACTGGCGGCCGTCAGCCTGGCTTGTGGCTGAGCAGAGCTCCCCCTGTGGGAGCGCACTGACCACCAGGGGGCAGCTCCTGCATTGAGCATCTGCCCCCTGGTGGTCAGTGTGTGTCATAGTGACCAGTCATTCCCAGTCGTTCTGCTGTTAGGGTCAATTTGCATATTATCCTTTTATTATATAGGAGTGCCTGGCCAGTCTGGGTGAGGGGCTGAGGGCCGTTTTCAGGCTGGCTAAGCCCCCCAGCAAGGACCCCTCACCCCATGAGGGTGTGGCCAGCCTGGGTGAGGGGCTGATGGCTATTTGCAGGCTGGCCACAACCCCCAGCCACCCAAGCTCCCAGTGGAGACTGGCTAAAGCAGGTATCTGGGATTTATTTGTCTTCTATAATTGAAACTTTGTTGCCATGAGCAGAGGCCACAGCTGGCTCAGGCAGGCGGGAAGCTTAGCTTCCTCCATCGCCCGGGCAACCAAGCCTCCTGCTTGCTCCAGCTCCTGGCTGCCATCTTGGTGGGTTAATTTGCATATAGTCGCTCTGATTGGCTGGTGGGTGTGGCTTAGGGCATAGTGAAGGCACCGTCAATTAGCATCTTTGTCTTTTATTAGTGTAGATCTGCTTTGCTAAAGGGCAAAATGTGGTAATAAAAAGCTGTGGGTCTGGACATTTGGAGAGCCCACTTCACTAGAAAGTGGAGCCTCCCATGGCTCCCCGATGCCTCCCAAATTTATATTTCATGTCTAGTCTCTATTCATTTATGTCACAGCCCCTTCTCCAGATTCCTGAACCCTAGCAGTGAAAAAGACTCTAGCACTACTGAGGTTGAAAAAGAACCCGAGGAGAGAGAAGATGCAGTCAGCCAGGGAGAGAGGAGGCAAGGACTGTCTGCTAAGTTCCACCTGAGGAGTAGGAACGAGGGATGCTGCTCATGCTTGCAAGCCTCACACCTGAAGCTGCTGAGGACAGATGAGAGAGGAGGACTCTGGGCTGTGAGGGATTGCTGCAGCTTGGATGAAGTGGTGAGCCCATCAGACTACAGTGTGCTACCATTGGGGGTTTTGTGGAAGAGACGGCTGAGTCTCTCAGGGCAACAACCACAGGTTGGAGGAGTTGTTTGAGTCTCAGCATCAGTGCCTGTTTGGTTCTCCACCTTCCCAGACTTCATCACAGAGATAAACAGAAAGGAGACAGCCACAGCAGAATGGTAAGGAAATGCCATTTCTCTTTTTCTTCTTTTTGGCCCAATACTACCAAGGATAAATCTAAGAGAAAGAAAGATCTAGAGCAGAGATTTTCAACCAGTGTGTTGCAAGAATTTTTAAAATATGCAATATTTGACTATTTAGTCAGGGGCACTAACCTCTTTTCCCCTTAGAGCAGTGGTTCTCAACCTTCTGGCCCTTTACCTATAGTTTCTCATGTTGTGACCCAACCATAAAATTATTTTCGTTGCTACTTCATAACTGTAATGTTGCTACTGTTATGAATTGTAATGTAAATATCTGATATGCAGGATGGTCTTAGGAGACCCCTGTGAAAGGGTCGTCCGACCGCCAAAGGGGTCATGACCCACAGGATGGGAACCACTGCCTTAGATTATAAAAACAAACAAACAAACAAACAAACAAACAAAGACAACAGCCAACACAACAATAGCCATTCAGTATGAATTAATCAAAATTGTACCTATTTCTTTTGTCAGAGTGGCAAAAAATATAATAATATTTTTGGTGTGCTGCAGAAGTTTAGTATTTCATTTATGTGTTTCATGAGAGGAGAAGCGCTGAAATTGCTGTTCTAGAAGGTGGTATGAGATGAGGGAGGGAGGGAGGGAGATGAGAGAGAGAGAGAGAGAGAGAGAGAGAGAGAGAGAGAGAGAGAGAGAGAGAGAGAGAGAGAGAAAGAAAAAGAAGAAGAGGAAGAAGAAGAAAGAAGAAGAAGAAAACACCTCTGTCAATTCTAGAACATTTTGGTGAAACCCAAGACTTAATTATGTTGGAAGGAGGGAAAGAGGTCTGATAAAACATAAAACTTTAAAGTGGAAAGGACTAATACATAATAAGTTAGAGATATGCATTGAAATGCCACTAAGGAAGACTAATTGGGAAACAGGGTTAAACAAAGCATAGCTGGTAACAGATATTGCCAAAATAAAATAATTTTATACATTAACTGATTAAATATTCTTAATTAAACCAGTTGAGATTATAAAGCAAGTGGAAAGAAATATTTGCCCCTTACCCCTACCCCCCCCCCCCGACCCCCAGGCCCTCCAGCTTTTATCTGGTTGGGGAAATTAGAAATACAAAATACTAAATCCTCTATATGTAAGCCCACCCAGCCAATATCTCCATTCTCATTTCCATTGCCTCACACACCCAGTGCCTCAGCACTGAATCACTCAATGCCTTTTCACACCACATGGTTGTTTATGTGGTCATGTTTATGCACATGCTCTTTCTTCTGCTTAGAGCACCCTTCTTCCTTTCTTTTATTTTTATTGATTCTTGGAGAGGAAGGGAGAGGGATAGATAGAAATACCCATGAGAATCATTGATCAGCTGCCTCCTGCATGCCTCCTGTTGGGGATTGAGCCCATAATCTGGGCATGTGTCCTGACTGGGAATCAAATTGGTGACCTCTTGGCTCATGGTTTGATGCTCAACCATTGAACCACACCAGCCGGACAACACCCTTCTTTCTAATGTCTGTCAGGCAAATTTCCACAGATGTCTCACTTCTGGAGAGTTATATCTTCTCTGAAACCACCCTGACCTGCTCCTCCCTCCCTCTCTCATACACATTCTCAGCCAGATATCCTTCCTGAATCTCCATTAGGCCCTTATATGTATCTCCTGTGAGATGCTTACGCTGTATATAAGTATGTGTTAGTATTTCTGTCACTCCTATTAGACAATGAGCCCTCTGGAGAGAAAGAAGAGATCTTATTTACTTGTTAAATCTATTACATAGCACGGTGTTTGGTATATCACATAAGATTCATTGATCTTTGATGAGAGAGAGAGAGAGAGAGAGGGAGAGAGGAGGGAAGGAGGAAGGGAGAAAAGGAAAAAAGGAGGACTTTCTTTGTGCTCAAAGTGATGAGGGTGCACAGTTTAGTTTAAGAGAAGGCTGCGTATTACTCTTATCTTACCCTTCCAGTGAGATGGCCCGTTGGAGAGTCACCGAAGGCTGGCGGGTTGCAGTGCTGTGTTGGGAATGACTACAAGAAAAGAAAGAAAAACAAAGATAGATCATTTATTTAAAATGACTTCACACATTCAAATCAATCCTATTGCCAAGAAAAGAACTGATATTGAAAGAAATATATTAGAGATTAAATTGCTGCTCTTTTGGTGATAATTAGAATCCCCCCAAATACAACATTCTCCCAGATAAGGGGTTACTATTTCCATATAATTTGATTTCAATGTGTATTATTCAATAGTAGGCTTTAAATCATAGGTAGACATGAAAAGAAACAAACATTTAGAAAAGGCAATTTTTTTCTCCTTGGAATAAGACAAAACAGAGCACAAAAACAAATTTCATTATGATGCAATGTATTATTATTATTATTTTTTAATGCAGAACATATTTTTTTCCCCAAGCAAAAAATTAAAAAGAGAAAATTTGCAAATTGGGGTAGACTTTAACTAACATAAACTTATTAGTTCAAATTTGCAACACTTACTTGTATAATTCAATAATAATTCAGCTGTTGGATAAACACAACAACTTGAAAAATGGAATTTTTAGTTGCATATCAACCTTAGAGTTTAATAAAATTCCATGTTTTGTTTTGGTTGTATGGTAGCAAGCAAAGACTGATTTTATAGATAAATGGTTGCAAAAACAATTCTAATATCTCACATTTAGTGAACACTTATATTTTCTAAGTTCATGTGTTTATATCTTTTATATCTCACAACCTTATGAGGTGTGTACTGTCACATTGAACATATGAAGAAAATAAAATACAGAGATATTTAAAAGCTTACCCAAAGTCATTTGGTAAATACCTGTGCATGAAATGGCATCTAGACTATTTGATTCTAGAGCCATTATTCTTAACCATCATATTATACCACCTCCCAAATGATAACAATTTCACAGGTTTGTAAGAACCTGCCTTAATATCTCAGAATTCTTCAATTGGAGATAAAGGGATGCTTTTATCTGAGATATGCACAATGAAAATCCAACAGCAATAAAATGATGCATTATGTGCCTATGTGTTATAATTTTAATTTGTAGTATTAGTTTAATATTTTAGCTGTAATATTAGTTACATATACTAGTACATGTCGTACATGAAGACGTTTATATACAAATATACATAAAAAGAGAAACTCGAGTCAAATCTTTGCAGAACTTGACACTCCTTCACACAGCTCTTGGATTTTATAGCATGTGCTCTGAAACACTGACTGACATAGAAAAGCAAGCTGTAGACTGCAGATTTTCATTTAGAACCTTGGTCATTTGGGCTGAGAAAAGGTGGCTCTCGGTGAATAGCATGTAGTTGTGACGTGAATGGCATTTACCTGAGTTGAGGGAGCAGAACTTTGGGTCTGTACCTAAACAGCTCTTCTGCAGGGCAAGGATTGCATCCTTTTTTTCTGGCATCTCTCAACATATTTACTGGACCAGTTGAAAAGTAGCATAACGTTCAGGAGCTGGACCATGTAAATAAGCATGGCCTGAGTTCAAATCCCAGCTCCTCCATATATCCTAATGTCACCTTGGGCAAGTTACTGAAAGCTCCCTGAATGTGAGTTTCTCATCTGTAAGACTGGGATATAATAGTACCTTTCTCATGGGGTTATTATAATGATTCAATGAATTAAGTGTTTTGAACAATGTCTGTTACATGGTAGTAAAAGCTATGTAAATGTTTGTTAAATAAACTAATATGATTTAGCCATGTGTAATTTGAGATGTTTGGCTAAGTAAAAATTATTAAATTATTATTTAGATCATTCCAGTTAACCATATAGTCACTACTACAAGGGGTATACTTTTGAGTATAGCTTTGGTGATCAATATTAAATTTAAATGTATTTTCTACTGTGAAAACAACATTATGGAATGAATAGAAATCAAAATAAGAAAAAAATTAACCCATAATTCTGTTAACTTGTCTCAGACCTTACAGACTTAGCTAATTTCATTCTTTTAGCTGTCCTACAAGATAGGTATGAGTAACTTATCAGAGGTCAACAGCTTGCACACATGGAGCCAGAATTAAAACGGAAGCTAATCTTGTTCCCAATTATGTGTACTTTCCACTCTATGCTATGGACTCCATGTGTCTCATATAGTTTTATACACACACAGAACATATAGAACCACATATCCTACATTCCCCCTTACATTATAATTTAAGGATTTCTGATAGGCTCTCCATAATTATTATTTTGGTGTTATATAATGTTACTTCCTATAAAGATATAATTTAATGGTTAGGGAATGGGTTATTTCCATTGTTTTAATATTATAAACATATTGATATCAATGACTTTTTCATATTTTACAATTTCTTTTGAATGTTTTCACCAAAATAAAATAAAACATTTATGTTCTTGATTTATGTTATTAATTACTTTTAAAAAACTTTATACCATTTTTTGCCATATATATATCCCCCCACACCAGTTACACCACAGTCTTACAAGTATTGACATTAACATTTAAAAAAAGTTGATAATTTAATTGGTAGGAATGATATTTCTGATATGAGTATTTATTTATTAGTGAGAATGATCATTTTTTTCTATATGCTTATGCGAATTGTACTTCTTTTGTTTAAACTGTTTAATCCTTTCCTTTACCATTTATCTTCCACTGGTTTGGAAAGTACCACCAGTTCTTATGTAAAGATCAATGCTGCTCACTAAACAAGATTAATGAGTAATTGGAATCCCTGATAACTTCCTCACCATTAGCTTAGACTACATAATTAAAACAATGAAATATTCAGTAATCTCACTTATCACTACCTTTAACTACTCTATTATTCTGCACTAAGTTATTTCAACAATGTTCCTCTTAAAGTTTTAATGATGCTATTAAATGCAAAAGGTGCCATGAAGTGCTCAGAGAATTTGACTCCTTTTATATTACTCATGTGAAGTTAGCCGTTTCTCTTACCATGTAAATTTGAAACAAACAGAGACTTTTATAACATGTAATTACCCTTTTACTCTACTAAAACAATTACAGTGATTTATCTGATGGTCAAGACCTTTGGACGTAAGGTAATTTTTGTTTCCTGACAATAAAGTTTAAGCAGTACTTTCATGAGGAATACAGGCAGTGGGTATTAGGAGCAAACAGATGGTGATAATAACTTGTATTTTTTAAAAATACCAAATATCTTTCCCTTGGGACCATGCAGGTTCTATTCTTTCCATATTACTGGCTACACAGACAGCATGTTGCTAGTTCTACCAAGACTAAGAAATTATAAGTAACCGCTACCTGGCTCTTTCACCTCCTTCGGCAAAGAGGCTGACTGGATGGAATTCTGAAAACGAGTGGAAAGAACCAAGGGAGAAAAACACAGCTAAAACTTAAAGCCTAAAGGACAGCTAAGTGCTTGGAAAATCCTTTGTCTTAAAAAAACAAACACAACCCTATTCACAAATGGCCATCCTCCTCCTATATCTACTGTTTTTCTAGACACTGTCAAATGTCTCTTCAGCCCAGCTCACATGCTGCTCTGTAGCCCAATTCACCTTTTTCACACATGCATAGTAACATCCCGGGCTAGGAATCACAACCATTTCCTTATGTGCTTGTGTTTCCTACGAGTTGTGTGTGCTTTCAGAGGAAGTGATAGGGATTTTTCCACGCAGATGAACCAACACATTCAGTTAGAAAATGCTGAACTCTCACTAAAGATTACTAACTGTTTGTTTTTCCATAAAATACCACCCATATTTTCATGCTGTATGTCCAACTTACATGTCGGTGGCTTTAGAAGGTCTTTTATTTTTTTTTTTAAATGAAGGCCATTTAATAAAGGAATTTCTCTGTCCTATTCACACCACCTCATTGGTAAGCCATGGGCATTTATGAGGATTTAAGTGACAATGAATGGTGGGTGAGTCACATGAGAATGAGGAAGGCTCGGCATCCTGTCATAGCACTGATGCTGGGCAAGAAGTCCCTGTCCCCTGGTAGAAAACCTGTGGTACCAACTCTATTTAAGTAGCTAGGCTGAGTTGTCAAATCAGGTAACGGTGGAGGCAAATTTTACCAAGACTTTTTAAAAAGTATGTATTTTTATTGATTTCAAAGAGGAAGGGAGAGGAAGAGATAGAAACATCAATGATGAGAAAGAATCCCTGATGCTGCCTCCTGCACACCCCCACTGGGGATCAAGCCTGCAACCAAGGCATGTGCTCTGACTGGGAACCAAACTGCAACCTCCTGGTGCATAGGATGATGCTCAACCACTGAACTACGCTGGCTGGGCATTTACCAAGAGCTTTTTAAGGCTCAGAGAGAAGTAACAGCGCCATTGCCTTTCTAAATCATGCTGTCATTGAATAAAATTGAGCCAGAGACCAGTAGAGTCCTGTGTAGACAGACGCAGGCCTCTAAATTCTTTTATGGAATCTATCCATCTCATACTTGGTCTTCCTCTTTTGCATATTTTACTCCTCAAATAAACACTTCTAACACTTTTGCTTCTTACATTGTGAGACAGTTTTAAGATTACTAGCTATCTTTTCTTATACACTCTTAAATTTTTCTTCTGACTTCTACTTAAATTGCAGAACCTAGAAATACATTCAGAGTTCCAGATGTGTTCAGAGCAGGGCTGAGTGCAATGAGATGCTGACTTTCTTTCCTCTGAATTACATACTCCTGCCAGAGCAGCCCAGGATAACATGGACTTTAAAATTTGCTGAATTGTTAGGGTCAACCTAAACTTGTATATTTTTGACATCAAATGATTTAAAATCAAATCTATCAAATACCGGTACACTGGATTTTTGGCAACTCAATATAGTTATTAATATCTACCCTTGTCAAATTTAATGGTATTGATTTCGATCTCATTTTACAGTTTGGTAAGCTAACATTGCATCATCAATTCAACTCAATAAGTATTTATTGAGCATCTAATATGTGCTAGTCTTTGTAAAACATCTCATCTAGTATTGTATCATCTTAAAATATAACATGCTTTTTACATTTTCATGCAAGTTA